TACCAGGCACATCTGAATGTAAATATCGATGGGGATATTAAAACTTTACATCTCAGTCATTGATAATTTTATAGATATTCCTTGGTAGAGTACTTTTATTTTAATTTTTATTGCCTGCTTTTATTACAGATAAATATATCACAGTCTCACCGAAATACGAGGCGACTATACATAATACCTTAGACATCCTTCTAAAAGAGGAGCTAGCTTGCTCAGTTCTGGATCTAATCTATAGACAAATTTTTTTCTCTCAATATATATATATATATATATTATATATATATATATATTCAGAGTGGCCCAAAAGTCTGGAAACGGCTAATTATCTCGTAAATTACTAGACATAATTATACAAAATTTGGGATACGGAGATTCCATATTTGTTATTTGCAATGTTGTCATATTTTCAGTTTCTCTTATATTATTAGTAACATTGGTTTTTCAAATGCATCACCCTGTATATTCAGTCATTATTGGAATCTCCTATTAAATAGGAGTTCAACCATATGTAACACTTATGATTTTATGTAGTCTGGAAGGTCTTAAATACATAAAACAGAAGTCTGGCCACGCCTAAATTGTTTCAATACATTTTTTAATACTAACTATCTTCAAATATATTAAAACGTAACAATTGATAGTTTAAAATATTTTTTAACATAATAGTTACGTTATTAAGTGTTCAAAATGTGCTCCATTTGTGAGTTGACAGCACTCTAATCGATGGTAGAATGCATCTACCACATTTCTCCATGATTGTCTAGAAATTATTCGAGATTCATCGATAATTCATTGCCTTAGCTATGCAAAGACTTGCTGGTTAAGTTTTGTAAACTGAATTTTTCAAGTATCTCTAATAAAAATAATCTTTAGGATTGAGATCGAGGTGAACGTGGAGGCCATTCAATTCTACCTTGTCTACCAATTTATCGTCCGGGAAATATCTCATCTAAATAACGCCGAACATTTACACCAACTATCTGACGTTAAATTTCTTTCGATAAAAAATGGCCCAATTAAATAAGTACCTACTATAACTGACCATACATTTAATTTTTGTGGTCTTTAGCTATAAAGCCCCCTATAAAACGGTAAAATCGGTTTTAAATAAATTGAAAATAGTCATTTTTTGTGTAAAATTTTCCGTAGAATCCGAATTCGTTGTCAGAAAACCTCTAAAGGTTATTTGAAAGCTGAAAAACGAAGGAAAATTGCTAAAAAAGGCGGAAAATCGCGTTTTTTGGACTCTTATAGGGTGCAGCGGCTTCAAACATATAAAAAGGATTTCTGAAACAACTTTTATTCAAAAATACTTGTATTAAGGCGTCTTTTGTGAAAATTTGGAAAAAATTAAAGAGAGTGTTTTTGAGATATGAATTTTTCAAAAAAAGCCCTTTGTTTCGCATTTTGTGGCTTTACATGACGTCATATGGCAATTTTGACACGGGGATCGTGTTCAGCGGGAAATTTTACATTGGGAAACATATAGTGGATATTTGTTTAAGCATATTTAACTCGCTGTACTAAAAAAATCGGCGAAACACAAAAAAACAATTGATAAAAAGCGTGAAACTTCAATAGCGCGCCACGGCTGCCATTTTGAATATTAAGGTCTGTAAATTTGACAATCATGTTTTTTTGTCTAGTGCAACATGTGTGTAAAATTTTAGCCAAATCGGAGAGGGTGACCCCACCGACTTGTGTCGATTATTGCTGGAATTATGTTATATATTGTATTACACGATTTTTAAATTTAATATTAAAGTGTTATTGCAACAAATTATAATTTATTGCAACATTTATTTATTGGAAAGGTTATTTTTAGCAATATATATATATATTATAATATATATATATATATATATATATATATATTATATATTTATACAGTAAAACCTCCCTTATCCGAAACCTTTTTAACCGAAACGGCTGACAGTTTCAATAATTTCGTCAATAAAAAGTAACTTTTTATCGCAAAATGTAAATTCCATCAATTTCACTCACCGATTGATGCGTATGTGTGTTGGGAAATCAAAAAACCAAGAGCTCTAAAAGATATTTGAGAAAAAGCACTTCCAGTTTTTTATAGAAGCCAAAAAAGCTCATGGATCTCGACCACTTTATTGTCAGAATGATTCGAAAATGAATTCGTCCCAAGCGTAAAATCCTTTTTAAAATAAAAAAACCTTCCATCAAAGCATTGTTGCTTGTTGACTCAAAATCTATATAATAGTGATCATTGTCAGATTTTTGCCTCCGAATGTCACGAGCTTAATTCAACTGTTAGACCAGGGACTAATAGAGACATTCGAGAGACATTATAGAGGAGTATTCTTAAGATATCTATTATTACAGGAGACATATCAATCCAAAAGTGTTCCTGAAATCCTCAAATGTTTAAAAATGAAACATGTTGTTTATCGGTGTGCTGAGTTCTGGGCCAAGATCAAATCTTGAACTTTGGAAAAATGCTGGAACTAACTTTTTGATAGGATTTTGATTGACGATCCTGAAGAAGAAAATGGCAAAGAAACGACAGAAGAAATTAAATCTTTAATAAAAAATTTGCCGGGATGTGACGAAATTAAATAAGAAGAGATACGTGAGTGGTTAGCAGCCGATGATTTAGAAAGTGAATTCATCGACCAGGACATCATTGATATGGTTCCTCATGCAGACAACCTGGGTGTATCAGACGACGAATATGACGACCCAACAGACAAGAGGCAGCATGAGACCGCTCAAGAGTTTTTCAATGCTTTAAGGAGAAGAATTTTATACAGTAGGCTTAATATGTTACTAGGGAGACGACTAGGTTCCTAATTTTTGTTATCATTGTATAAAGTTTTGTCCTTTTCAGATTGCTTTACGTTACGTCGAATGATGAAATGAGGCAAACTTACGACATTCTGCAAATGAACGATGGAGATTAATAGCTGCAAAACATCGTTGTCAAACGATAACGTAAAAGAAAATAGAAGATTTCTTTAAAAAACTTGTTCATTTTCCTTAATTGTATTACTTTATTCTGTATTTACTTATTAGAAAACATTACAAAATCACCTGAAAATCACCCTATAAAAAACAATGTTATTTTTAACCGAAATTCTTGTTATCCGAAACGGCCTCCCCCCCCCCATTATTTTAGTTAACGGAGGTTTTACTGTATATATATATATATATATTTATATATATATATATATATATATATATATATCAGCTATACGTCGCTATACACCCCAGTGTGGAGTTAAACCGCAAATGCTTTCTAGATTTCCTATTTCTTAAGTGGATCCGTGGATCAGCTTTGTTTATCTTATCTTCTTGACAATATCTCTCCATTTTTTCCTGTCTCTAGTTCTTCCTCTCCATTCTCTGACTCCTGCCCTTTGGAGGTCTTCTTCAACTTCTTGCAGCCACTTTGATCTCGGTCTTCCCCTTCTCTTTCTTCCTCCTGGATTCCATTCTATCATTGCGTATGTCACTGCCTCATCGCCTGCTCGCCAAATGCGACCTAACCATCTAACTCTGCATTGCTTTATTTTAGTTACGATGTCTTCCTTAATTTCTGCGTTTGTTCCGCTTCTATATTCATTTTGCTCTGTTCTGATTGGTCCTAGTATGGCTCTCATAATCTTTCTCTCTGCTATTCTTAAATCTTCTTCATCTTTTTTAACCATCGTCATTGTTTTCTCCTTCGTATTGGTCTAATTATGGTGTTATAAAAGCTCATCTTATTTTTTTAGTCAGTGTTTTGCTTTTAAGTAATCTTTTGTTTGCAAAATAAGCTTTATTCGCTGCTAATATTCTTTCTTTTATTTCGGATTTCCTTTCTCCAGATTTACTTATTGTAACTCCTAGGTATTTGAAATGACTTCTTATCAATATAAGAAGTTATATTCAAACTCAGAACTTTCTATTTTGATTTTTTCTTTCATTGGTTTTTTCCCTAATCTTAATATTAATGTCTTTTCTTGATTTAATCTTAGCCCCATTACCTCCTCTTTCTCTCTTATTTCTTCACATCTCTTTCATTATTTTTCTGTTCTTTGCAATAATTGCAATATCGTCTGCATATGCAATTATTTGACCACCTCTTGTTCTGAGATTTCCTTTATATATATTTCGCAGTACATATTCTAATGCTAGATTAAATAGCGTTGATAAGGCATCTCCTTCTTTCATCCCTTTATTTATACTGAATTCCTCTGTCTCTCCTCTTTGTGTCTTTATGCTTATTTTTGTAGTTCTCATTGTCATTTCTATTAATTTTCTGTGTTTATGTGGAATATTATGTGGTTTAATTTTTTAAGTGCTATCATTAATCCGTTTCTTTTAATTGAATCAATTGCCTGTTTGAAGTCTATGAATAACATTTCCAATTCTAATTTATACTCGTTTGCTTTTTCCATTACTTGTTTTATTGTGTGTATTGCATCTATTGTAGATCTTCCTTCTGTGAATCCACATTGGTACTGTCTTACTCTCTTCTTTGTGATCTTTGATAACCTCTTTTTTTATTATTAATTATTATTATTAATTACAATTATTATTATTAATTACAATAAAGCAAATAATGAGAAAAAGATCAAGGAAATCTTACGTCAATTATTTAAATTGGGAACGAAATAAAAATAAATTGAAAATAATGAAGGGGAAATCATACCAATCCTGTAAACTAGATAAAGATGACAAGTATAAAAAAATTGAACGAGACGAGCGAAAGATGGGACCTCTCAAGTCAAAGGATTCGCAAAGACCTCTAAAATTTTTTTGCAATATTTTTGAAGACGACGACAGAAAAAATATTTATATGTTTTGGAAAAATTTGGACTGGAATCAGAAGAAAATTTATGTTACCAGCCTTGTAGATAAAGAACCGGTAAAGTACACATTTTACAAACTTTCCTTGCATTTAAGTTACTCCAGATAAGCAACGATGTATTTCGTATATTTTTTTCCTTAAGAAAACTAATTCTCGAAAACGGGTATGCAAGAAAATGTTTCTGCAAACATTAGGTATAGGCGAATGGAGTGTGCAAAATTGGATTGGTCAAGGAGAACAAAACATTGCAGTTCAAACTAAAAACAGTTCAAGAAAAGGCAAGATATCCGAAGATAAAGCCTTCCTAATCCAGTTTTTAGAGACAATTCCAAAAATGGAGAGCCACTACTGTAGGAAAGACACTAATAAATTGTATTTAGATACTCAGTGGACCTGCGTTAATGAACTATACAAATTTTATACCAATGAATGTGTTGGTGCAAAGATAGCCAAACTGTATAATACAACTTTTCGTCAGGAGCTCGATAAGCAACGTATAGCCTTATTTAAGGCAAAGTAAGTTAAGCATACAGAACAATAGAAAACGTTTTTTTTTTGTTACAAGAATTTTTATTTTTTAGGAAAGATCAGTGCGACACTTGCACTGGGCATTCTACCGGCAAAAAAAATGATGAACAGTTTCAGCAGCATTTGGAGAAAAAAAAATTTAGCTCGTGATGAAAAGGAAAAACTAAAAGAAGAAGCTAGTAAGGACAACAGTAAATTTGTTTTGACTATGGATGCACAGGCAATATTAACATAGCAATAAAATTTTATTATTAAAAATAAAATGAAGCTAAATTTTCACAACTATAGCTTCTATAATTTGTCCACTGGCAAAGGCCATTGAGGGTTCAGGTGGGGTTGAAGCAAACGAGTTCACTTCCATTATCATAGATTATATTAAAAGAAATTTATCTCCGGCTACTAAATCCGTTGTTTGCTTCAGCGACTGATGCTGCTATTAAACTCGAAACGTTACGCTTTCGAATGCTCTTTCTTACTTATAAAGAACATCAGGTGTTGACATATTTCAATATTATCTAGAAAAGGGTCATACTCAAATGGAGTGTGACTCGATTCACGCATGTATCATATATCATATATACTGACTTTACGAAGGCATTCGACAGAATTCACCACGGCGTATTACTTTCTAAATTGTGTCTCTTTGGTCTTTCTGAGGATGCCGTGACTTTTATGAGGTCTTACTTGTCAAATAGAACGCAGTTTGTTACTTATAATGGTTACAAATCGAAAAGTAACTAGCTTCTTCAGGGTTCCACAAGGTTCTAATCTAGGTCCATTATTGTTCTTGTTTTAAACGATCTGTGTGAATCAATTTCTGCACCATGTTTATGTTATGCCGATGATTTAAAGATTTATTCATTGATAAGCTACCTTAATGATTGTCATTTTCTGCAGAGTGAACTGAATCGTGTACATTGAATCATTTGAATCTTAATGCCAATAAGTGCAAAGTAGTTAGTTATTCTAGGAAACAGTCTAATATATACCATCCTTATATTATCGATGGCAATGAACTTGAACGTTTGAATAAAATTAAAGACCTTGGAGTTACATTTGATTATAAACTCACCTTTGTTGAACATGTTAATTTAAAGGTTAAAGAAGCACTTAAATCTTATGGATTCATAATTAGAAATAGTCGAAATCTCACTAATACTAGGGCAATTAAATTACTTTATTACACTTTTGTACGCTGTAAACTGGAATATGCTTCTGTCATTTGGTCACCTTTTTATGATGTACACATCCAAATTATAGAGCACGTGCAGCGTAAATTTTTAAAATTTTTGTCTTTCAAAATTAACGGCATATATCCCAGGAGGGGCATCAGCAATAGCGAGTTGTGTAGCGGTTTGGACGTAGTATCATTAGAATCTAGACGAATTAATGCCTCCCTAATATTCCTGTACAAGCTACTACTATACATTGACTGCTTATATAGTTCATGAAGTAATATTCTAAACTTCGTTTAGATATCTCTTTCAAGCCCAGGCCAAAAATGCGTTTACCTTTTACTCGAGCCGATTATACACCGAGACAACCCCTGCAGTGACAGGTTTTGGCTTACAATAAGACCATAAATCTCTTTAGTGGTATTTTGAGTAAATATAATAACAGATCAAAGTAATATAATCTATTCATAAATTTACAATGTAACAAATGTACATACATAATTTATTTGTTATTTTTTTTACGGAAAAATTGGCTGTCTGAAGTTTAACGTAGATTAGAGTTTACGGAAAATAAAAATTATAAAAAAAAAGATTATTATTATATATCATAAAAATTTGATTAGTATCACGATCATTAAAATTGATAAAATGAAACGATATAAATATAGAATTATGTCTAATGTTTCTTCAGAAGGTGTTTCAAATAAAAATTATAATAAAAATCTTGAAATTTTTGTAGCATATTTTCCCACAGTTCCATATATTTATCAATCTTTTCGAATAAAATATTTTTTGGGGTCCATACCGCAAACTAACAGTATTCTCTATTCGATATAAATAACAAAATAACTGTCCTTGCACTGGATAGTAATATAAATCAGTTCTTTTTAACATTTCTTGAAGGAAGGAATAATTTAGTCACGCTATCATTTCCAATTTTGATTTTTGATATTGAATTTGATAGGTTGTGATTTATTACACCAAAATCTAATAAAATATACCATGGCCACAAGAAATAGTTTCAGAATAAGTTTGATGTGTTGTTTATTATCATTCAGTAAGACACTAATTTACTTCTTACAATGCTAATCTAACAGACAATTATTATTGTCAAATGAAAGAAATAAGATAATTTACTTGTGTGCTTGTGGTTAGTAAACGTCGGCATATCATAGCAATATGCAAAACCAGCGAGGAAGCGACAAAGAAATTACACAGATGTTAATCAAATATATACTCCAGGGAAATAAGCAAAAAATAGACCATGTTCGTGACACTCAATAATCCAGGTCGCTGACAACTTTTTTAGTTATTGTAGACCTCTAGGAAGAAAACCTACTTCTTTTTTTGCCTTGAATTTGGAGCTGTTTTTTAATTATTGACAATTTAATGCAAAAAACGCGACTGTTTCTATTATTATGATACTAGTATTAAAAAAATAGATTTTTGGAAGAAAATTGTTTTACACGAATTGTTTAAACAAACTAGACTATTTATTAATTAATTAATATATAAACAAATTACTAATTCCTAATGTACGTAGAAATTACATACAAATTAAAAAAAGAATGATCAAAATCCATTGAGTAGATCCGGAGATATAGAAAATTTTATTAGTTTGAAATTGCTTGTTCGGTTTGGATTTGTAGGTTCTTCCTAGTCACCATTTGAACTACATTTTTGAAAATTTGTAGAGGGTCCTGTAAAGGTACAATGTTTGTGCAAATTTTTTTAACAAAAAATACAAATCCCATTCCTAAACATGGCAAAAAATGAGGTTCCTTAATTATTATAATCAAATTAGCTGTGAATTATCATCTTTTCTTTGACTTGATCTACTACTTGTTGTAATTGGTCGTAAAACACTTCCCTTGTTGTTTGAGGCTTATTATTTTCTGGGCCGTATACTCCGATAATGTTCAGGTTTTCCTTCTCCATTCTTATCTTTGATGTTACTATTCTTTCTGATATGTATTGACACTCTTTGATGTAATTTTGATACCTTTGGTGTATTAGTAAGGCTACACCTTCTTTGGCCCTGTTTTCTTTTGCTATTCCACTGTAGATTAGTATGTATTCACCTAATTTTGATTGACCTTTTCCTTTATTTTTTGTTTGTTGTAGAGCACAAATGTCTATTTCTTTCTCTTTCAACACTTGGGTTATTTCTTGGTCCCTTGAGTTGAGTGATCTGATATTCCAAGTAATTCTCATCTGGGTTTTGGATGTTTTTCGCTTGTCCTTATTTCTTGCCGTAGTCGTCTTCATAGTATCAATCCGGTTCCGAGACTGTACATTGTTTGTTTCTTTGAGCAGTATTTGATTTTACGATTGGTAGGTTGCTATAGTTTATTTTTATGAACGAGAGAGTAATTAGCATAATTTTAACTGGTACCTTCGACCACTCCATGGGCGTGCTCAAGATTAATTGAAAAATTACTTTGAATAATTGTAAAAAATAAATGAATTATTTCAGTGTTATAAAGTGTTATGTGTATGTAAACAAAAGTGACCTCTTTTATCACACACTATATTAGAACTGACTGGCCTACATTAAAAAGGGTTTTAAAAAATTCACATTTTTTTTTAATTTTTAAAAATTACAAAAGAGAAAAAGAGTTTTTAAAACCGTCTAAGGTATGTTAAATAGATGAATAAAAATATTAATATAAAACTTACAGCTACTTGTTACAAATCCAAATCAGATTCAGAAGATGAACTTTCAGAACCAAGATTTATAATAACTGGCTCGATCATTTTATCAGTAATATTGTCCAGCTTCCACATTTTTTCCTCTTCTTTAATAGTGTGATTTACTGCCTTTTCCCAGTTTTCAGGTTTTACATTATTTACGGCCTCCAAAAACAACTGTTTAACATCATGAATTTTAAAAGTGGTATTTTTTCTTGAAACTTCACTCTTTATCTGTGCCCATACCAGTTCAATCGGGTTTAATTCACAATGATATGGTGAGGATCTAAGTACTGTCATTCCACGATTTTTGGCAATTTCATCAATTTCGTATTTTTAAAATTTTTCTTTATGAAGGGCACACAACGAATAAAGTTCCTTTCTTATAGATCCGGATGGTACGTAATATTTTTTGAACTCAGCCAATTCTGCAAGTCTTTTTTTAACCACTTGGTTGTGGGCAGTCCTTCTATAAGTCTGGAGTGATAACTTGCATTATCCATTACTATTACACAGTTCTTAGGAAGAAGATCTATCATTTGTTCGAACCATTCTTGAAAGACATCAGCGTTCATGTCTTCATGGTAGTCACCGGTACGAGTTGATTCAAAAGTTAATAAACCACCTTCAACAAAACCGTCTGAACTGCCAATGTGTACTATTATCAGCCTGCGTCCCTTTCTTGATGGTGGGTTTAAACCAGTAGATAAGTTATTTACAAAAGCGTGCCTTTGACTTGTAACAGTTTCATCCTGCCAAAATTTATTTGGTGTATGACCCTCGTTGATCCATGTTTCATCAAGATAAAATATTTTTCTTTTTTGGTTTCTCATTTCCTTTATGGTTCTTAGAAAATGTCTTCTCCATATGACAATATCGCTTCTTTCTAATAAAATAGACTTTCTGGGATTCTTTTTCCAGCGGAAGCCTATTTCTTTTAAAAGTTTCCATAACGTACTTCGACTCATTTCTGGGTAATCCTTATCATCTCGAACTGAGACAAGAGCTTTATCCAATGTTGGAAATTCTTGTCTAAAGAAGAATTCATGCACTTTCCGTCGAAGTCCTTCTTTAAAATGATATTCTATTTGAAATTTTGGTTTCCCTGGAGCATTACGTGGCATTTGAAAACTACCACATTTCTCTTCTTTAATAACTCTGTAAATCGTAGATTTCCCAACACCAAGTGTACTGCTAACTAACTCAACGGTCTCATCAACACTTTCACATAAACGTTTGTCTGTAAATGATTTAAAACAATTAAATATTAATGTTTTTTCATTA